CAAAAGATGACGGAGATCAGGCACGAAGGGCGATTAGGTAAACTAGGTGACTCCCGTCTTCCAAACCGGAGTCCAAAGGTTCCGTAACTGGTTGATTGGAGACAATGAACGACGTGGTAGTGAACCGATAGCAGTGGCGTTTTTGCCACCTCTTATCCAATCAGAACGCTTGAAAAATTTGCGTGCATAGTTGAACTGTGTGTTGACCATAAAGGCTCTTTTTCTTTCTCTCGGTCCTGAATATAGGCCTGAACCCTGACCACTTAACACATTCTCACTTACCTTGTATGCATTGTGAGTTTGATAGTAATCGGTATTTCCGCTGAAAATGATAACGTTGTTTGCTGGTGCGCTGATTGACTTTTCGCTGTTCCGGATTAGACCTTCGTATCGTGCACCCAATGAAGCAGGTTGGAGGCCACCTAGTTTGAGTGGGCGGGTGGCAGCTGACCAATGAAGTGTAAAGAGTTATCCCACCGTCGAGTAGAAGCCCTTGGTAACCCGCTCCTACCTCCATCTAGCAGGTTTGTTTTGACCAATAAACTTCTCGCGTTGTTCAGTTGCTGGGGTGACCTCTTCATAGCCGAGGGTCGATAGTGAAACGGAATCAGGAGGTTCCGCAATATCTCTGGAAGCATACGCAAACCGATAACTAGTGCTACAGCAAATGTGTGCGGTTCGCACGCCTCTTATTTCCGCTGGAAACAAGGTTTTCAGTCACCGCCTCTAAGTGATCTGATAGTGTTTCACCGACCTGTTTATGGCCCCGCATGTTAGCTTTTCGTCCTCAGTTTGGTGGGATAACACCATGTGAAAGCAGTGATTAGCGCTTCCGTAAGAGATATTATGTGAGATATGATCGTATAGATACATTTCATAAGACGCAAGGGAAGGGTGATCACCCATAACCCGAGACGTCCACCCCCGATCATGCTAAGGTTTTCGGATTTGATGCAATACCAGCTTCAGTTTTGTACCGAGTCACGTCAACGGTAGCTTACTGCTAAATCGTCACTTTGAGTGAGCTTACCAGTTAACTTGGAACACCAAGTTGCCGTCCGTCTAGTGCTGTGTCGGAATTTGGTATCAGGCGGAAATAGCCCGAAGAGGTCGATAGCCGATGCGCACAGTTTTCCAAG